ATAAATATTATAGAAAATATGTATATATATTTATATAAAAAATATATGATATTTCCGTGCAATATTTCTTTGTAATTTGAAAATGACATAACATATCAATAATTGGATCGTGATCGTCGCAATTGCGACTCTTGAGTATATAGCGAGCACGCGGTCACTCGCTCCGTTCTTGTGAGAACGGTGAGTCAATGTATATGCGAGCTAAAAATGATACGTTGCACGCGGGGAGAGTGACGTCATGACGAGTCAGCTCCTCGGCCGATGATCGACACGGTGTAGCGTGCGTGCGATGTAGCGACGAATATACATGCAAATATTTACGTCAAATACTGATACCAAATTTGCAATAAATTAGTTTTTATAGAATATTTTAAAATATTTTAAAATTATTATTATTAAATTTTTACAAAATTATATGTATGTGGTGAATTCCACATTGCATGTAATTTTAAATCTTAAATATTTTAGAGCTCTCTTTTGATTTATAAAATTAATTTATTACAAATATATATATTTATACTGTTGTGTGTCTTTAGAACTAATAAAGTTTTGATGGAATCATATTGCATGATTGAAATAAAATAAACATTTTGTAACAGTAAAAATGTGTAAAGCACAAGACGTGAAAAAATTTTAAAATCTAATTGTTGTGTAATAATAAGCAGTCAAATATTAATCACTTTATTCTGGGCTGCCTGTCTGTCTGTCTTGATATTTATAATATATAAAACTAATTTTTTGTTAAAATATTTAATAACAATTTCTAGCCATTAAAAAAAATCTGCAAATTTCAAAATATAAACTTGCCCAAAAATTAAATAACTACGTATATTATTTACACTGTACATTTTGCAATGACTTTAAACGCCATGTGTTTTGAATATGTTTTAACACAATGTTGCGTATTTAATCCATATCGAGGCACCCATGCTATAAAATACGATCAATGATGAAAAACTTAAATTAACTTAATTCTTTGGAAATCGATAAGATGGTGCATTATTACGCAGTATATCTTCAATATTGATCGCATGTGAAAATTTAGTAGAGATAAGCTAACGATCGAATAATTCCCAGAAAGAGAGAGAGAGAGAGTGAAGAGAGGGGGGGGGGGTAGCGGGGAAAAAGTTTGATAATAAATCGATTTTTTAAGAATTTATTTAAAAAAAATATTTTTATAAAAAAGATATAAATGTTCAAAATGTGTCTATTTTTATTAATTTTTTTTTTATTTCTCGTTATCTTTATTTTTTAGATTTAATAATTTTTGGTTTAATTTACTTTTCTTGTATTCTTGATAATGTCTGCATAAATTCTTAATTCTACCGAAAAGTCAAATAAACTATTTTAAAAGAAAGAGATATACATTAACAATAATCATGCATAACGTATATTATATGTATACATTGTATAATTGTATGATAACAAAGATTTCCGGTTTTTTTTACAATTTTTAAACAAATTGCAATGCTTTGTATTGCAAATTACTTAGCAAAGTATATTTTCTAAATAAAATTATGTATTTATTAAATGTTGGTTTCGCAGTGTTTGTATTTATGTTAAATAATAATACATACAATGTAAATGCGTAAATATAATTTTGCAGGAAAAAATATATCTGTGGCTATAGTATATGCTATTACCAATATAAAAATATCTGTTCACAATATATCATGCAAGTGTAATGCATTAACAGACTGTGTATAATTTATGATAAACACATAAAAATAAGTATAAAATTTTTCAAATGTTTCCGCAAATATTTTAGTGAGAGAAAAGATGAAATTAAAATAAGTTTTTTAATGATTTGACTTTAAATAAAGACAATAAAACTGTTTTCTTATTTTGCGGATATTTGTATATATGTAAGATATAATCTTGGCAAAATATGACAGTATTGATATACATATGTCAAAGAACGGATATATTGTTCGTTTATGAAAATGTAAAAAAATATTTATGGTCGCGTCGTCTAAATTCGCTTAGTTTAATGTCAAAAATTTATTGTTTTTATATATGTTTTTAATATCAAAATATATTTTATTTATGTACACTTTCAAATATACATATGTATAAGAATTGAATTTGTCACTTGTTCTATAATTCAGTATTTAATATTTACATTTTAAAAATATTTATTACAATTTTTATACGTATTTTACAAAGGGATGCTTGCTAGAATGTGGCAAATCTCTTAATAACACTAACTTTAATATTAATTTTCTATTAATTGATGGGAGCACTAAATTTGAGATTAGAACAACAAATTGGAGGAACAAAAATTAATGTTAAATTTAATTTCTCAAGATCGACAATCTAACGTAAGTTAACGTATAAATACTTTAATATATGCATTTTATCTTCACTTTTACTATATTTTTGTAATAGATATGATAATAAATAGGAAAAAATAGCGTATTTCTTTTACAATATTCTTTCGAATAATGAAAGAAAATATAACATGTGAGAGAGAGAGAGAGAGAGAAAGAGAATATAAAATATAAAAAGCAATCGTCTTCCTTAACTAAGCATGTAATATCTCTTTATTTTTAAAATACTTTTCAAAAAATAAAAAATAAATGGAACAACAATTTCCATAAATCTTTCGTACAAAATAAACAAAATTGATGTTACTGCAAAAAAATCAAGGGCTGATTATATAATCTATATAATCACTTTCTTTAATATATGTATGTTACTGTTTACTCGTAGAGGAAGCTGTGTTTGTAAAAAATTTTTTCATTTTTCTATGTCAATGTGTTAAAAAAATAACATTTTTTTGTCACAAAGAAGTTTTGTGTACAAAATGTCGTATGTGTGTTCTCTCTCTCTCTCTCTCTTTTCTCTCTCTGTTCACCCACTTTTCCGAAAATTTAAACGTTTCAAAAATTGTTTGTTGTAGTGTTCCAATTTGGTATACAAGTAAAGCAGACAATACATAATTTGACAGATAACACTTTTTAGTCATTTTTATAAAAATTTATACAGTATATTTTAAAATTCTAATATTTCAAAAAAGCTTGTGCTTGCTCTAATTTCCATAAATTTTGAAATATCGAAGTGAATTTTTTGACATGAATAGAGTACTATTAAAGGATTTTTGGTATTGAATTTGGCAAGGATCAATAAAAAAGGATTCATTTTTTAATAAAATTTAGAATTTAAAAAAAAATACAAAATTTTTAATTTTATGAAATAAACATACGAAAGGAAGATGTGAAAGTGGGTACATATATATACACATATACATACATATACGTGACGTTCTGACAAATTTCATTTTATGTGAAAAGTGTGCAAATTGGAATCTTGTACATTGCTTCCCCACCATTCTATTTCGCTCATTAAGTTTCTTCAATGAGGAAACCAAAATTGAAAAATCAATTTGCTTCTAGAGAAAGCTCAATGAATGAAATAAAATGGAAGCAATGTACAATTTACATACTTTTTTAAATTTATAAATTAATAGAAAAGTATTGAAAAAAATAAAATATAAGCAAAATATGCAAAAAATTATGCTTTAATAATATAAAAAATTATGTTTTATAAGATTTTAATTTTTTAAAATAAAATCTAATGTTACTCCTTGAGTGGTTTCTCAAGTCCCAGAGTTTAAATTTTACTTTTTAGCTCTTTCTTTTGTATGTAAAATAGAGATCATATTTTTTCTCAAAGAATAATAAACAATTTTCTCTTACTTTTTGTGTTTCTATTAGTTATTTAATATCTAATTAAGAGTTAAATTTACATTAATATAATTGATAATTTACCTGATCTATTCATAGCTGATTATTTAATCATATTTTCCTATTTTTTGGAATTTGATTATATTGTAAAATTACATGATTTTTTAAAGAATATTAATGAAAAAATATTAGTAAATATCGTTCCTTTAATACATTGATTTCTTTAGGTATTATCTGTTAATTAATTCTTGGAGCATTGAATCAATATGTAAAATTTTTTATTGAGATGAAGAAATATTTGATACAGTCTATAAAATAAACAAATTACTTGAAAAATCATTCAAAGCTAACATTGTCATATAAATATTTCATATAAAATAATTTTTAATAAATAATAATATATTATTGTGTGTACTACTAATGTACTATTAATAATTATTTATTTTTTCTCTTTCACGTAAAATCCAAAAATATATGGTCAATTAATGCGTATATATTTCTAATCAGTTATACTCCAATCTTTTATAATATTTGTACAAATAGCAAAAGATACAAGTAGATATATATATAATATAATATAAGCTCTTAGCTGTGTATTGTATTAAAAATTAAATTCAAATCCAAGAAGAAAATTTTTCTCGATAATTTAGAATTTATCTCAAATAAATATACAAATTATACACACATTAAGAGTTAATAATTTGTACATTGTATATGTACATATTTTATACGCGAGTGTAAGAACACAAGTAGGCATACAAATAGGCTCATACAATTTTAAGTTTTTTAATTTATTGAAAAAATAAATAAGATATATTATATATATATATATATATATTATCTCACGTGATTATTCAATATCATTACATCAATACATTTACATATATATATATATGATAAATTTTAATTTTAAATGACTTAAATATTATGTCAAACTATTGTGTTGTATTTTGAAGATAATAAATTTCAGACATCTTGAACGTCAACGAATTGTATCTCGTATTTGTGGATCGGAAAGTTCTCCTCGTCGTGCGACGCGTCCTCGCGCGAAGGTCGCGCCTTCGTGAGTGAATAGCAATGTGCGAGAGAGATACAGAAAGAAAGGAAAAGAGGTGGGAGAAAAAGGAGGAAAGATAGAGAGAGAAAAAGCTAAATCAATCTTTCCATATATATAGATAGAAAAATTAATCTTCGATTAAAATTAAAATAATTGTCATTTTAAGTAATTTGTTCAAGTACAATATTTATATACTTGTAATATTGCCTCAATATGCCACAAGTATTATTTACTCTAAAGACATTAAAAGTACTCACACATAACAAGGTCCGTAGCGCAGAAATATTAGGCAGGATTTTTCGGTTCTCGAAATTTCAGATGGCACTCATATGCACTTACACATGTGTTACACGTCACTTTACTTTTCTCTTTTATCGCATCACGTACGTACATGCAAGAAAAATCGCGAATTTGTAGATATCAGATCCCTAAAGAAAGAAACAAAGAGAAAATAGTCGCGAATTCACAAACAACGTCTGTTTAACCTCGCCTTTCGCGAAAGCGCGATTGCTGTCTTCGTTGCACTCTTTACCATTCGTCACCGTCCGATCATAGTCGTCTCTTACTCTCTCTCTTTCTCTCCCTCTCTCGCATTTTATCATCCACTTTCAATTCTCTCATTTTTATTGTCTCTCTATTCTTTTTATTTTCTTTTTCGTTCGAGCCTTTGTTTTCTTTTTCATCTTTTTTAGTATCAAAAACACATTTTTATCTTCGATTGTCCAACGAGGAAAGAGAACCGTGTTACATATGATTAAGAGAGACAGACAGACAAACAGACAAGGATAGAGACAAGGGAGAGGAAGAAGAAAAAGGGAGAGAGAGATAGAGAGAGCGAGCGAGGGAGAGGGAGAGAGATAGAGATAGAGAGAGTGAGCGAGCGAGAGGGAGAGAGAGAGAGAGCAAGAGAAGGAGAGAAAGAGAGAGACGTACGTCAATTTGACAAGAAACAATGCTACAAAGAATAGATGTTCTTCGAAGAAAATGCAATGATACACGCACGTCACAAACTCCAATTCAACCGCTACGAGTACAAGCACGCGACTGCAATGTTACATACTACGGAGTGACTCGCGACTCTCCAATCGACTTCGAAGATAGCGCTGCGGTGGCAGCTAACAGCAATAACTAGCAGTAACACGCGCGAAATTTGATTGTCTCGGAGAAAGAAAAACTGATATTGCCATCGCCATTGTTTCGATATAAATATCCTTATACTTATTGTACGAAAAGCATGCAATTATAAAGTTAACTTTATCAAGATTGAAAAGTTGAACAAAGAAAACAAAAAAGTAAAAATAATAAAGAAAAATAAATAACAGAAATTTTTAATTAAGAATTTAACAAGGCTCTGTAATATAAATATAAATATACATTGAGAGTGTCAAACAGGCAATAAAAGCCAAATCGCGGATGACAGTGCGTTATCCCAACGAAACTAAATTTTTTCGTTAGGATTAAAACCTGCGCACAAGGCACTAAATTTTACTTGGACACGGCCAAGATTTAAAATTGGAATAATCTCTACAAGAGATTTAATTTCATACATCCCCTGTTCCCCCCTTAAGGAAATAAATGCGAGAGAAAAATATAGATTCGAAAGTCGCTGAATCGGGAATCGAACCCGAAACCTTCCACTTGCCGGGAGACTGCTCTTCCAACTGAGCTATTCAGATCCCTTCGATTTCTATACTTTTCTCTGCTATATATATAATAATGTTGATAAACAAACGCCTTTAAGCCAGCGTGTACAAATTAAGAATTTAACAAGGCTCTGTATTATAAATATAAATATACATTGAGAGTGTCAAACAGGCAATAAGAGCCAAATCGCGGATGACAGTGCGTTATCCCAACGAAACTAAATTTTTTTGTTAGGATTAAAACCTGCGCACAAAGCATTAAATTTTACTTGAACACGGCCAAGATTTAAAATTGGAATAATCTCTACAAGAGATTTAATTCCATACATCCCCTGTTTCCCCCTTAAGGAAATAAATGCGAGAGAAAAATATAGATCCGAAAGTCGCTAAATCGGGAATCGAACCCGAAACCTTTCGCTTGCCGGGCGACTGCTCTTCCAAATTTCTAAATTAAAATAAATTCTTAATGGTATCTTTTAGTTTTAATTATCAGTTAAAGCTATTTAGAGTAAAGTCTTATAATTAAATTTGTCTGTTTTGGAATTAGTTTTTAGAGATATGGCTTTTTTGTCATTTTGAAATTGCTCTTTAATTTCTATTCTGTTTTGTACATATACGTATCATGGTATATGCATAAAATAAAAATGTATGTGCGTAAAATTAAAAATATTATGATGTTTTATTCGCTCTTTTATGCTACATATGCTATGTAATATCGTAAAATATATGTACAAATATATTATAAAAAAATTGCGTCAATAAAAATAAGAAAATTAATTATAAATAATTTTGACCGAACAAGACAATTCTACGAAATAATTGTTTGAATTAAAAAGTTGCAATAAGTAAATAATAATGCGCTAAAAATAATGTATTCTTTAATATTACATTCGTGAATATTACATTCTTAATATATTACATTTACATAGTATATAGTATATTGATGTAACTACATAAAAAGTTTAGATTTAAATTAAATTTATTATTTGTTGGTATTATATTTAAAATATATTTTGAAAGTTAACAGCGAAAGTTTTAAAATTAAAATGTTATGTTTTTTGTTTGTATTAATTTTTAAGTTTCATAAACAATTTTTGTGAACAGTTTTATAAAGAAAAAATTAATTATGTAATTTGTTATATTTTATCATATGATTGTTTAAATATAATATTTAATAACAATTTGTAATTAATAGTGTGTATTAATATTTATTAATAATTATTTAAAACTTTTGAAAGTTTTTTATTGTTTTTTTATTTCCTTTTGTTATTTTCAGTTATAATTTTATTTGTTTTTATTGTTTTTATTGCATTTGTTCTTTATTTTGGATTTATTGTTTTTTTGTTTTTATTGTCTTTATTGTATCTGTTTCTCTTATTTTGGTTTTTATTTGTTTTTATCTTCTTTTTTGTATTTAATTTTTTGTTTATTTATTTTTTATCTGTTTCTTATATATATATATATCTTTTATTTTTTATATATTATATATCTGTTTCTTTATATAATATATAAAATAACATATATAAATAAGAAACAGATAAATAATAAATAAACAAAAAGTTAAATATAAAAAAGAAGATAAAAACAAATAAAAACCAAAATAAGAGAAACAGATACAATAAAGACAATAAAAACAAAAAAAAACAATATATACCAAAATAAAAAACAAATGCAATAAGAACAATAAAAAAAAATAAAATTATAACTCAAAATAACAAAAAAAAATAAAAAAATAATAAAAATCTTTCAAAAGTTTTAAATAGTTATTAATAAATATTAATACACACTATTAATTACAAATTGTTATTAAATATTATATTTAAACAATTATATGATAAAATATAACAAATTACATAATTAAATTTTTCTTTATAAAACTGTTCACAAAAATTATTTATGAAACTTAAAAATCCATACATGTATAAAAAACAGATAAAAAATAAATAAACAAAAAATTAAACACAAAAAAAGATAAAAACAAATATGTACATATATTTTAGATCTGAATTTTTAAATATTTTTAATATATATATCTATATCGACTATTGGTCATATCACGATGTTTTTTGCGTCCCCGAAAATTAATCTTTTCGTTGGTTTAGGAATAGTATCCTTGGTTTGGATCCCAATACCCCTTTAATTTAAACCCCCTATAAAGCATATTGTATTTATGTAGGAGGCCGAATTATATATTCTAAATGTTATTTCGAATATTTTCTTTAATATTTAAATGTTATAATTTTGTTGGCAGCAGTTGTAATTTTTTTTTAAATATTTTTTATTATTTTATTTTTTTAAAGCTGTTATTATCATAATAATTTAGAATTTATTTCGCAGTTTAATCTGTTATTTTTTTGTACATATTTTATTTTTATTCTGTTTAGTTTTTATTATAAAGATAAATTTTTTTTGTTTTAAAATTAAAATGTAAAATATAAATATGTAAAGTAATATATATGTATAATATATATAAATGTATATAATTATAATATATATATATATATATATGTATATAATAATATATATAAATATATATAAATGATAAGAGTATATATTTATACAACACATATATGTATAATAGATAATATAATATAATAAGTTGTAAATATTTTATTTCTTTATTATGTTTATTCAGTTTTTATGATGTAATTATTCTATGTAGTTCTTATTATAATGTAAAACCATTTCTGTAGTATGTACAATGTAAAAAATAAATATGTAGAGTAACATATACAATGAATATATATATATATATATATACATATATAGGGTTTTAAAAAGGACTACATATTTTGTGAGCAGGTAGTATTGATCAAAATAAGAAAATGTTTAATAAATATATGGATCCCATACAATTAATATCTTTGAAATACATCTTTGATATATAAAAATATTATTTATTTATGTTAAAGCATGGGTATAATACTTTGATAGGGTCGTTATATCCATGTTTCGACATAAGTGAATAATATTTTTATATATCGAACGACATGTACACCAATTGTGTTTTTAATTGTCATAATTAAGAATTGATTTGTCGAGTTATATACGTATTTATGGAGTTATTACACACATTTTCATGTTATTTTTAAAGGTAATATATATAAAAAATTTTTTTATAAAGTAATGCATCGTCGAAATTATAACAATAATTGTTCATAATTAAATTTGTAGTATTTCGTAAGGATTTGCGGCTAAAGATGACATAAGTAAGTGTTTGAAACGTTCCGCAGTGTATGATTTTTCAATAATAAATTAATTGTTAAAAAATTTGCTCGAAAAAAGGCCTTTGTTCAATTATTTTAAATAAATATTCTTTTATTTACTGTAATGTAAAGATAATATGATGAATAAAAAAAGCAGTTTTGATGTACAAAATAAAAAAATTAACAGATAAAAAATATTTATTTATGATATAATAGTATAAAACAAAAATATATGATAATAAATAAAAATATATAAATATAAAATAACAGAAAATTTATTTTAGGTGTCACACAATTAATAGTAAAAAAGAAAAGCATATTCTATAGATAAAGGTAAAATTTTTATGAACATATGCGGAAATGCATCTTCTCTGACTTAAACTCCTTCAGTTCAAGTTTTATGAAAAAAAACTTTGTATATTGTTTAAATTTTTGATGAAAATCAGATATATTAGGATTTACTAACATACTGGTCATAGATAAGTTATCGATGGGAAGAAAATCAATAATTACTAGACTTACTGACATACCCGACATTGGGTAAGTTAACGATGAGGTGGTAATAAAAGGTATATCGATATAATAATTATGAATAAAGTAAAGAACATGCAAGATTACATTTGAAACTAACCGACATACCAGCCACTTATAAAGTTACTATAACGTGAAAGAGGCAAGGATAATATTTATCGACATAAACGCCATAGGTAAGTTATCGATGTAAGAATGACGGAGTCAGGATTTTCCGATGTTATAAACACGTGTATCATTATGTTAGGTAATGACACGTCGTATTTCAATATTTTTTATTAGCAATATTAGAATTTAAAGAATATATTCCCATATTATGAAGCCCGATCTTTCATTTTTTAATTAATTTCAATCATTTAAAGCGATAATTAATTTCTCCAAATTTTAGAGCACAATGAACGAACCCAGCAAACGAGAAATGATTGGATTGGATAAATTTGTATGAATAAAGTTTTTGAATACGCGAAAAAGTATTGAATTTAATAGATACTGAACACATTGAATCCGTTTTCTATACGTCTCGTTACATACAATCCTGTAAATTCTAGTGGATTTATTTAGATTCAAAAATGAAAATATGAATCGATTCCCTATTACAAAATTGTGAATTCAAGTGAATAGAGGTGGATCTAGTTCAGCAGATATGAATCCTTAAAGACGGATTCAAAAGATTTGACTTTTATTGATATATATATAGCTAGGTTAAATTCGTCTTGCTCGCTTTCGTGCTGAAAGCATCCATTCTATCTTTCTTCGATGTATTAATGAGCAAGAAAGATAGACTGATACTTTCAGCATGAAAGCGAGCAAGACGAATAGGCTAATAATCTTTTTCTGGAAAAAATATTACCAATACTAATAACTAACACTGAAAATCACAAAAAACATAACTAAAATTAACATTATAATTTTAAATAAAATAGTGCAAGGTAAAAATTGTTAATATCATATTTATTTATTTTATATGAATATTCGTAAAGTATTTCAATAAATATTACCAATAGATTAAACACAGTTTGGTCTTTTTATTATTTTAATTTGGGCTATTGTTTTGAAACTCCACGAACTCCACAATCTCCTCCATATATTCGTCACAATTTTCGTTGTCATTCTCGCCGTCATTTTCGCCGTCATTCTTTCCGTCATTCTCGCCATCATTCTCGCTTTCATTCTGGCTGTCATTCTCATCGCTATTATTTTTGCCGTTATTCTCGTAGTTATTCTTGCTGTCATTATTGCCATTATTATTGTAGTCATTCTCGTCGTCATCTGTATCAACATTCTCGACACTTTCTAATGCACAATTGCCGATATCCGATAATAATACATTATTATTATCTGTTTCATTTATTAATTCAGTCTCGATAGATGATTGCGAATCTGAAACTATACATGCATTTTAATTTACATTTATCTAATTTATATCCAAGAACAAGAAGTTATGACATCAAAATGACTCTAAAATGATTTTAAAAGTCACTTTTTATAAATCAGGATTCATTTTAATGTCATTTTGACTTCGTCAGGACTTGTTGTTCTGCTTGAGTATTTGCTTTAATGCTATTCATTATTTGTTAATTCTGAAAAGTATATATTAAATTAATCAATAGCGGCTTATTGTTTATACAAAGCGCAAAACCTTCAAATAGCATAATGTAAATATGTGACAAATTTGCAACTGTAATGTTTACCTGTAGTGAAATCGTCATGTTGAAAATCTGCATTATTTTCTATTATAGCGTTCATCTCTTGCAATTGTTTGTTTAATTCATCCACGTTCGATTGGCTTAATTTTTTCTTTGTTTGCAATTGCCTCGATTCTAAAAATATTAATTTATAAATATTATTAATATTATTAATATTATTAATATTATTAATTTAATAATATACTTATGTTTCAATATTACATTATCACTATCGCAAATACATATAAGCACATATATTTACCTTTCATACTTGCCAGTTTCCTTCTCATATATTCTTTTGCTTTATCTACCTCTTCATCTGCCTCAATTTCACTCATTCTCTTTTCGGTCAGTAACCAATGGCGAAATATTGCTGTGAATTATATATATACAAGTATATTACATAATTAATTTGAAATTTTCGTAGTTATGTACAGCAACGATTAATATTACAAAACCAAAGTAATTATTATTAACCTTTTATCGCCAACACTTTTATTGGATCCAATTTCTTGTACGCTTTTCGAATGTCCGCTTTTGTCCTGTTGCTTGGTTTTCCTGACAAGGTACTGTTCAGTAATGTCTTATAAGGAAACAGAACTAGCATCATTTCGGCTACAAACATGCTGGGTGTCGTAGCAGTACCAATTACTAAGGCATAACTTTCTGTCGATATCCATACGTTATGCCCCAGATATATCTAAAAAAACAAACAACTAGTAAATATAATTATTATAAGATATAAGTAAATTCAGAAATTCAGTACATATTTCTAAATTATATACATATTTTATTCCTTTGTAATTATGCAGGATGTTCCAGTATTTGCTGTAAGTACTGAAAACGTTTATCATATTTTAATAGAATGCATCTGACAAAGATAATAAAATGCTTTTAGGTACTCGTTGCAAATACTAGAACACATTCACAGTACATCAATAACGAGATTATAAAAATATATATGCATATTTCGTTAAGCAATTTACCTTCTCAGTATCTGCTTCAATATATCCAATCGCTATTTTAATCGGATTTAAGACGTCTGTAGTTTCAGCATTTTTTAACTCTTGTAATGTTGCTGCACCAGAGGAATGAGAACATGCTTCTGTTATAACTTTATGTTAACCATGTGTTACATTTCATTAAATATAACCCAGACAACATAATGTCTTAAATCAAGACATAAGACGTATTAAAGACGTCTTATACGAGTATATGTCTTGATTTAAAACATTATGTTTTGTCTGGGAAGCTAGTTAAACACGAACCTTTTATTTGGCCGAAATGTTGGATTGCAGATTTTTGCAATTCTTTGTTGAGATTTCGTATCTCATTTAATTCATTTGTGAGTTTTTCAATTTTCTCTTCTTTCTGTAAAATTTCTCTTGACAATGCCGTTTTCTCCTCTGTCCATATTATTTGTTTTACGTTTAAGTCATCTTTCACGGATTGCAATTCCTTCTTGAAGAAGTCTACTTGATTTTTGTACGCTTCTGCTGCTGCTTTATGCGATTTGACACTACATTCACTTATCTAAAAAAGTACAAAAAAATACATATATTAATACATAGATATAAAATAAATAAATGTATCAATGCATACTCATTGTTACGATATTTAAAAAACTCTAAAACTGAACTCTAAGATTGAACAAATTATAACAAAAGGCATGAGATGCCCAAATTATATTTACATATAATATATCTGTAGCTTATCAGCATAAGCGGTGAAGCTCATACTTGAATTTACGCTTGAAAATATCTTATCAACATTTTGCTACATAATTGCAAAATAATAATATTTTACCTCCGTAAGCTTTTGTTTCTTGAGCAAAACACATTTGTTTGATTGTACAGGAGTTATGGCATCTCGCTTTTTCCTTGAATCTGTCACCTGTAAATCATATTTTATATATATTATGATATTGTACAAAATATATTGTATGATAATCATATTAGTCTATAAATGCTGAGGTAAATTGAAACTTTTCAAATCAATATGAAGGCTAGCTTTACTTGTCGATGGAGAATAAGATTAAAAGGAACTCTTTTAGTTCGTTATATTATATATTTTACACAAAAATGTAAAACAAACGTACTAATGATGTAATAGGTGTTGATGTCACTTTATTGTTCAGTTGCGATGTTGTCATCATCATCTCTCGCTCAATTTGCTCATCCCGCAAAATTTGCAAACGGTTTTGCAAATTAGTGTCAACATTGGTATCAAGCTTATCATTCTACAAATATTATTTAAAACATTATTTAAGTTAATTGATAGAAACGTGCACATTTGCAGAGACGTAAAATAGAATTTATTACCTTCTTTTTTGCTGGTGTTTCTTCAGCTGATGAATTAAAACTGTCTGATGGTGATGCAAGATGTTTAATGGGCTTCACTACCGGTCTTTTGGATTGAATTATTTTAGATAGTTCTTCCAATGACTCTGCAAAGGATATATGTAAATAAAAATTTATTTCGATTTTTATTTGCTGAGACTCATAAATATTGTACAATTTTTTATTGGAATTATTACCATTCACAAGAATCACTTGTGCATGCGAATATTTTCCTGTCACTGGATGTTTCACTTTATAAAGTTTATTTTTATCAATGTTTTTCACGTCTGACCTTTTCACTTTAATGTCTTCAATGGCAACTACCTTCATACACGAGGAAGCGCCGAAACCCGCGAATTTCACATAAGCAAACATTTGGAACTTATTTACAACAATTATAATTATAACAATTAATATAATATCAAACGGTATTTTGGAATGTTTAACGAATACACGGTGATACATGGTATAAAAACGCTCGGACTTTACGAAGAAAAGTATAGATTCAAATCGCGCGTCATTTGTCCACACACAATGCGCAGCGAAAGCGCGACGTCACATTCGAGTAGATTCGGCAACAATCGGTAGTTATTCGGACACCGAACTGCGAATGCGAACTTTGGCTGTGTTCCGATATTCACAGCCAAAGTCTGGTTGTAGTGTGGTGAACGCATGTGTCTCATATCTAAAACGACTTCAGCCTACATAATTGTCCTACATAATTGTAATAGGATATTTATTAAAAGTGAAAGAGAATAGAAGAAAAAATGTAATCGAGGATTAGGTATGTACGTGCGATTTTCTGAATTGATAAATGCAAAGTAGTGTAAGTGCACAGTATATGTTTTTGTGCTATTATGCTTTATAAATTATCTGTTTACACGTTACGCACACATTAGCTGTTTGTTTTGCAGAAAAGGTCTTGTACTTTCTGCATTTTTTTTCGAAATACATGAATATAAAATAAACGTGCAAAACCTAACCTAAAATTTATTGCAAAAACTTTATTTTAAATTTATTGCATGAACTTTCTTTTAAAAAGAACAGAGATTGTATTGCTGCAAAAAAACTGAAACCGCGTTCCAGTATTTACAAGTTAAAAGCATCGTTTATCTTTTGTAACAAGACATTGATTTTTGCATGCAATATAAAGAACATCTTTCGTTAAACAAATTTGTTTTTCACACATGTGTTGTTCATTGCAAGTATTTATTTATAATATACAAACTGCATTTTCAATATATTTATCACTTGCAGAGTGAAAATGAATCAATCGCACAGAAAACGAAAGAAGCTTCATCTGGATCCAACGTACGACAGAAGATTGTTATCAATATCAACTCGTCGTAAATGGAATAAAATACTTAACACAGTTTTACCAAGGATACTACTTAATGCAAACAAAGAAGGTAATACTTTTCACTCTATACAGATTTCTTATGCTTATATGCAGAAAAACATTTGCAAATATTGAATCACTTTACCTTTTTTTCTAAACTTGGCATAACGCCTCCATTTTGATTAAGCTATTCAAGCCAAATAATTTTTATATATATTATTATATATATATTATATATATTACATATTATTATACCATTGCTAATGTAATTTAAACTTATCAATAATTTTTTTCTTGTAATTTTTTCGTCTTTTATTGATGGCTTAATGGCACTCATCTTAAAAACATGGGCTCGGTTCCACAAACTATTGTTACAAAAAGCTGTATATTACATATTTATTGTTCTTCTAACTATAAAAAAATAAAAAAAGAATAAGTTCAGAAAATATTTCAATACTGCAATACAATGGCTCTATGTAGGTCATATGAATGATTATGCTGAAAATGAACCTGAGAATGTGCAACCAGAAGACGAAGATAGCTGCAACAATAATAACGACGATTCAGAAGAAATACAATCGGAAGATGAAGATAGTAACAATGATGGCGAGGATTCGGAAGAAATAAATCCGAGGACAATCACTGATGATTTTACAGAAAGAAGCAATTCAGAACGTGATAAAAGTAAAATAATGTTTAAAGAATCTGATTTAACAGTCAATAGTGTTATGCGTATGGTTGCAGGGTATTCATTGCGGTTTGGACTGTCGAATAACGCGAGAAAAAGTTTAATTAATGTCCTTAAATTTTGTGCAGGGCCTAATTTTACACAACTTAATGTTTCGAATTATTATTTTGACAAAACATTTGACCCACCTAATGACAAAATACTGTTTCATTACTATTGTACAGATTGCTATTGTGAAATATACCGTACTAGAAAAGAAGATTTTGTTAATATAACTAAATTATGCGAACTTTGTGATAAAGAGTATAACTTAAATTTGTCGTGCGAGAACTTTTTTTTATCTATTGATTTACGTTATCAAATAGAGTTACTTTTAAAGGCTAAAAGTATTCGCACAGCATATATGCAGAGTATTAATTCAAGAAAAGGTACACAGCAATATAATTATATTAATGACATACATGACGGTGAATTACATAAAAAAGTAATTGCTAATTCAGCACACATTGTAAGTTATAATATCAGCACAGATGGAGCACCTTTAGGACATAAAACTAAACGTAGTATTTGGCCTTTGTCAGTAATTTTGAACGATTTGCCACCCAAGATTAGATTTGAAAATGTTTTATTAGCAGGTATTATGGTTGTAAAGCAAGAACCGACTCCTAAACTGATGAATTTATATCTTACAGTGTTTGTAGAACAAGCAGATGCTTTAAGAGAAAAAGGTATTTCTATGACTCTTGATAGTGGTCAAACCACATTCACATCAACAACGTTATGCTTTTCAACAGATTCTGTTGCTCGAGCGTTGACACAATATCGAGTAAAATATAATGGTTATTTTGGTTGTAGTTATTGTTATCAAAAAGGAACATATATATCGACTATGCGATATCCTTTTGTAAATGAAAATCCGGAATTAAGAACTCATGAATCCCATATGCGAGATATACAACAGTTTCATTCAAGCCAATCTTTAATACAATCTCGAGGAGTAAAAGGCAATTCAGTATTGAACTCAATTTCAAATTTTGATATGGTATGGGGCTTTCCTTTCGACTACATGCATACAATTCTGTTAGGGGTTGTTAAGCATATTTGGGAATTATGGGTAAAAACATCGTCGATACATTTAACTGCTGCTAAAATTAAGAATATTGATGAAAGCTTACTTAAAATCAAACCACCTCATGACGTGAAAAAATTACCACATGTAATATCCGATCAAAGTAATTACAAAGCAAAAGATTGGAAATCATGGCTATTATATTATAGCATTCCAATATGTTTAGACTATATCCCCAAAAAGTATTTACACCATTATGCTTTACTTGTAAAGTGTACTTATATTTTGTTAAAATCAAATATTACAAATGCTGAACTTAATAAGTGCGAACAAGATTTAATGATCTTTGTTGCTTTGTTTGAGGTCCTATATGGAAAAGAATCAATGCGGTTTAATGTGCATTTGTTGCTCCATGCTGTTCAATCTGTTCGGAAGTGTGGACCTTTATGGGCTACATCAACCTTCCCTTTTGAATGTAATATTTATTTGTTAAAGCAGCTAGTTAATGGACCAAAGGGCGTTGAGCAGCAAATAGCTAAAAAGTCATTACAGATTTTGTCATATAAAGTAGGAATGTCAAGTAGTTCATCGCCGAATCATGTAAAAGCGTTTTGTGAGCAATTGTTCATGAAAAATCAGTCGACTGTAAATGTTGAAGTAAATGATGGAGTAGTATTTTATGATTCACAACATGTATATATCTCAGATAGCGCTCCAGTTACAACAAAACGGATATATAACAAATGTATATATAATAATCAGGTGTACCATAGTAAAAATTATAAACGATCAAAAAAATGGAACGACACTATTGTACAGTTAAAATGCGGAAAAATTGTTAGAATCGATGATATAATTAATGTACCTGAAACAGGATGCCACTTCTTAGTTACCACATTCGTTGCCGAAAAAGTAATTTTACATGCAAATGAATGCACTGTCGATGAAACAACGTCTCCAGATGAGACATTAGCAAGAATTGGTGACATTGATATGCCACATATGTGGAAATTTGTAGAAGAGACGGGCCAACGATTTGTAATTTCAATTCATGATGTTTGTTCGAAAATGGTTGTCATGGACGTAGGAACTGAGCAATTTATTTGCGCTATGCCAAATATATTCGAGATTGACTAAATAAAAGTTCGCAATTTCCTATATTTTGTGTTTCTTTTTATATATATAATATAAATAGATAGTTTAGCACAAGGATTATTATAATAAATTATGTGTATAATGTATACTAAATAATAATGAACTATTATATTATGTACACTTTTATTCCATATGTAATGGATTATTATTATAATTATATGATTTTAATTACATGATGTCTTATAAAATGTTAATAAAATACACTATCTAGTAATAACATAACGTTATATATTTTGTAATTTTTATGTCACTGTTCTATATCACCTTGAAATATTTTTAAATCGAAAATTCTATATGTGTATTTGAATATTAATTTTTCAAATCAAAAGTTGGCTTTTTTGTCGAATTTACACGAATTGACAGTATTTGACGTCCAACTATTATTTCAGTGAATTTAAATGTTCTCGTTTCAATATCATACAATAAATTCAAACGCATTGGTCACGTTTATTGCGTTGTGCATTAAGTGTGATACCAAAAGCAAATGGCCAATTCACAATTATAGATTCAAACAAATTGATCGTACGTTTATTGCGTTGTACATTGAATGTGATACCAAAAGCAAATGGTTAATTTACAATTATGGATTCAAACAGATTGATAGCAAGTTTCTTTCGATGTTCATTGAATAATATACAAAAAGTAAATGACCAATCCGTACTTATGGATTCAAACGGATTGGTCGCACGTTTAATTTCTATGCACATTGGGTGAAATACCGAAAGCAAATAGCCAATCCGTAATTACTGATTCAAACGAATTACGGATAGAAAATGGATTCAACAAATCCAAAAATTTGATTCGATATCGGTTCAATGAATTATTATCAATATTTTTAAATTTTTTTTCGTTTGCTGGGGAATCATTATGTTAGGTACTGACACGTCGTATTTCAATATTTTTATTATCAAACTGAGGATAGTTTGAAGAACATATTTTTATAATTTGAAGCTCGATCTTTTATTTTTAATTAGTTTTAGTTGTTTAGGGCAATAATTATTTATTGAAATCTTTTGGCTCATTGTATGAGAATCGTTATGTTAGGTATAGAGACGTTATATTTCAATATTTATTATATTTTAATATTATATTTCAATATTTTATATTCAAATTAAGGACAATTTAAAGAACGTATTTCTATGTTTTGAAATTTGCTCTTTCAGTTTTTAATTAGTTTCAGTCATTTAAGGAGAATTAATTTTTCAAAATTTTAGATCATAAAGAACGAATCATTATGTTTGGCAATGTCACATTATTTTTAATATTTTTTTATTATCAAACTGAGAACAATTTCAGAAACATATTCCTATATTTAGAAGTCGTTCTTTCATATTTTAATTAGTTTTATTTATTTAAAGCGATAATTAGTTTTGTCATTTCTTTAGGGTCAGCATTTAGATATTTTAACTAGACGTTAAGCCATGCCTTTCTCCAATTCTTTTATATCAAAGGGAGGGCAATTCTGTTAATATTTTTTGATATTTTTAATTAGACTTTTATTTTATTTTTTGTAGACAGTTTAAAAAGCTATTTAAAATAATTAATTTTTTTATTATTTTAGGGTCGCTATTTTGTTATTGCAATGTTAGGTCTTGTGATTTTTCAATAATTCTTATTATCAAGAGGAGGCCTATTCGGTTAATATTCTTGAAAACATTTTTAAGCAATCTCTTTTATTATTTAAATAAATTAGATCGCTAATTGCGATAATAAATGTTGTCGATACTTTAGAGATATCATTAGAAATCTTATTTTGATGTAAGGTCACATGTTTTTTCAATATTTTTAATTATCGAAGAAGGAGCTATTTTGTTAATATTTTTTCATATTTTTAAGCAGGCTTTTTTTTTTTCTTTTTTTTTCTTTTTTTTTTTTTTTTTTTTTTTTTTTTTTTTAAGTTTAAATTGCTAAATGCGATAATTTTATTCCTTATTTTAGGGGCTGTATTTAGATATCGCAACGATAAGTTACGTCTTTTTCCAATATTTTTTATTATAGAAGAAAGGGCTATTCTGTTAAAATATTTTTTTTTATTTATTTTTCACAATGCTCTTAGATTTTTAAAATAATTTAAATAGGTGATTGCGATAATAAATTTTGTTCTTATTTTAGGGCTATCATTTATACATATATCTCAACTTGCCGTTTGGTCACGTGTTTTCTTAATATTATTTATTATCGAAGGGAAGGTTATTTTGTTAATATATTGTTATATTTTTAACGAGGCTCTTTTATTTTAAAAA